CAGTGGGGAAAAAAAAACCATTCAACCTATGCCTGTCTGTCTTTTAAGTTCTGTGTTGGATGTGAATTGTTACAGGCAAATAAGGTCTTGACCTGGCAAATGTGCACATGCTTTGCTGTATTTGCATGATTAACTCTTTTGAAGTGAAGCAGATTGAGCCTTTGATATTGTGCCTTGACAGAACTCCTTGAAGTGTGTGCATTCAGGCTGACTTACAGGTGGTGGGGTTTAGCTCCACAGTGTTCACAGAGCTCAGTTAGAGACATGGAAGGGGAGAGGATAACTGCAGGATCAACACCTGGAAGAATTATAGGCACCAGAAGAAAAATATTTGAATATTAATCAAGTCAAACTTTGTTTACTTAATAGGATTGGTAAAATGGGGTTTAGAGCAGGGCTTATTTTCTGTCCTGACATTTTGGGCCATAGGATCCATCAAGGATTTTCAAAGCACTGTAAGTGATAACCAGGAAAGGCAAGATTTAATTTTGTTACATGCTGATACACCTTTCTCCTGGAAGACTAACACAGGATGTCAAATTGAAAGGGTCCAGAATTGAGGCAGCAGCAGTGCTTTCTAACTGGAAAGATGTGAGAAATGGTCTGCATCATGTCTGGGATTTGCTTGAAAAAATGCACTGTGTGGAACCTGTCTGGCACTTGTGTAAGGCCTCTGGGCTGCTGCATCCAGCTCTGGGGTCCCAGGTACAGGAAAGACATGGACCTGTTGGAGCAGATCCAGAGGAAGGTTACAGAAGTGGTCATAGAACTGGGACAGTGAGGACACAGGGAGGGGAGAGCCTGTTCAGCCTGGAGAAGGCTCCAGGGTGGCACTGGATTCCTTCCAGTACATGCAGGGGCTGTAAGAAAGCAGGAGAGGGACTGGTTACAAGGGCCTGGAAGGGGGACAAGGGGCAATGGCCTTAAGCTGAAGAAGGGAAGGTTTAGATTAGATGTGAGGAAAAACTCTTGACTGTGAGGGTGCTGAGCCACTGGCATAGGTTGCCCAGAGAAGCTGTGGCTGCCCCGTCCCTGGAACTATTCAAGGCCAGGGTGGATGGGGCTCTGAGCAGCCTGGTCCAGGGGAAGGTGTCCCTCCCATATTGAACAGTATGATCTTTAGGGTCCCTTCTAACCCAAACTGTTTGGTGATTCTCAGCACACCAGTCTGGGGCTGCTGGGCTCAGCCAGCTTTACGCCACTGCATTTCCAGCAGCAAACCCCAGGTGAACCTGGCAGCAGAGCTGAGTGAGGGGCTGGAGGCACAGGGACAGTGGGCGAGGAGCCTGGCTGGCAGGGGCCAGCGCTGGGCTTGGGTAAGTGGGGAATGGTTCTGGCTGGAGGGCTGACACCTCTCTGGTCAGCAGGGTGTTCTGCAGGGCTGACACCTCTCTGGTACAGCTGGGTGTTCCAGCAGAGGGCTGACACCTCGCTGGTCAGCAGGGTTTTCTAGAGGGTTGACACCTCTGTTCTGCGGGGCTGACACTCTCTGGTACGGCCGGCTGTTCCAGCAGAGGGCATCCCGGCACCGCAGGATATCCACGCGCCGGCACGCTGTGCTGCGGGCTCTGGGAAGCACATTAGTATGCTTTGGGGACAGTGCTGTCACACTTGCTATTCCGTGTCGCCTGCGCGTTCCCGGCGTTGTTGTTCAAAGCTCACGCAGATCCACAAAGGCGCAATTAGCGATGGGATGCGAGGGTGTGCGTTTGCTTTAGGTGCAGTGGTGTAATTAGACATAAATTGAGATTTATGAATAATTTACAGACTTTGATAGAGGAGGAATGAAAATTAAGCGGGGAAAGAAATAAGTTTGTGTATCTCAGTTCAGTGTTGGAGTATTTTTAAAAAACTGTTTTGGCATAATCTTGATTGGCTGCTGTCTTGTAATGCTTTCAGAAATTAATTTGGTAGTTATTATTGAAATTAATTAGATGTTAAATGTTTTTTGCAAATCAGGCTTAATTTTTTTTCCTGGATGGAGGGTAATGATGTTTTTTTTTTTTGAAAGAGCCCCAGTGAATTCCTTACTGCCCTTACATTTGTGCTTACATAGTATTTTTGGGAGGGGCTCAGGCGTTGTACCCTGCTCAGAGTGCTACTGGGACCTAGCAAATTAAAAATGTACAGCAGTTCAGAAGCTCTGGAATTGCTTTCCCCTCTCTCTTTGGGGGATCTTTCAGAGAGAAGATTGTGATGTTCTGGAACATCTCTATTGCCCTCACTTTAGTGCCTGGTTGCTGGATATCATTTCAGATCTGGCATGTGGAGCACAGTGTTACGCACACTTTACCTTTGTTACTTTCACAAGACAAGTCTAAAATTCTTGGTTTTCATTCCCCTGTCGACTCAGGTTGGGTGTTGTGTTTCAGATCTTTGTTACAAAGCTGCTTGCCTTTTGTGCCTGGGCACTGAACCCACAGTGAACATTGTACAGCTGAAATGCAAATGCTTTTCCAAATCATCTGGCTAGGTTGATAATTACTGTGAAAGGCAGGGAAGCGTGAAGCTGAGGTGGTTATTGCTCTTTGTGCCCACATCTGAATCAGTGAACTGGCTGAGGTGTGCCTGTTACTGCCAGGGCCTGTTCCCTGGCCTGGAGGGCAGCTCACACAGTCTGGCTGCGTGCACAGCATTAAACTTCCTTACCATCTGCAGTGGGCATCAGTGCCCAAACTGGCTGCTCTGGGGTCTCTCCACTGGGCCAGATTTTGGGCTGAAGAGTTATCTGGGAGCATGGCAGCTGCCCCGAGTGTAGGAACTGTGCCAGACATTGTCAGGTTCCAGTAGACACTGTAAATGAGATTTCTAGTAGGTGCTCTCAGGTTCCAGTGGCTGGGAATATGCCTGATGCTGTTTAGTGTGCCTGTATAGATGCAGTGTAGGGATTCTGCATTGATCTATAACTCATTTCCCTTCTGTGCTTTTTATTAGGTTGACTTTCTTTATCACTGTGTTGTTGGGAGAACTCTGCATTACTCCTCTCCAAGATGTGTGCTTGAGTCTCTCCTTCTTCTATATCCATCTCAGTGTGTGCAATACTGCACATATTGCAGTATTAGGATTCACTCCTCTAGAGTTCAGCAACACATGTTACAGGAGGATGAGAGCTGGACCCTAAAAGAGTATCTGTGCCCTATGCACTCCACTAGCACTGGTTTTGGAGTAGATTTTTATCTCTGTATTAATTGAAACAGTTTGGTAGATTATGGATCCATGGAGGGCCTTGACAAATATATTATCTGTATAACACCTGTCAGGATCCGTCCTAGTGGACGGATGACCTGATGATTTGTAGGAATGATCTCAGAGTGCAAAAACTAACACCGTACAAGGGGGTTTGCAGTGATAATCAAATCAAATGCAATTTTATTGAAATAACCACAGCAAAAATGCAATAGAGGGATTAAGGGAGTGAAAAAGAGAGAGAGAGAGAGAGGGGATATAGCTACCAATGCAGAGACGAAGTCCTTTGGTCCAGTCCAGGCAAGGGTCTGCCTGCTATGCTGGGGAGATCTCAAAGGCTCTAGCTAATTCAGAGGTTTTTATTAGTGAAAATGGTGAGGGGGGGGAACAGATACAATAGGGAACAGATGTAACAGGTAGTCTATGTCCTCAGCAGTAAATGAGAGCCATTGTTTTCTTGCTCCAGTGGTCACAACCTGCAGGCAAACATCTTGCTTCGGTCAGCTTGCCTCCCCACACACCTCCCCCAGGCTGGGGGTTTCAGTCCCAGTCCTTGGAAGGAGCAGAGGGGCCTTTTAGGAGTTTCATGTCTCAGTCCTTAGTGGAGAAGCTTCTTACATCTCAGTCTGTCTGTCACAGTGGTTGTAAAACAGGTGAGGGTCTTCTGTGGGAGACCACCCGAAACTCAGGAGAAGTCCAGCCAGGCCGAGAGGTGGGACAGCTTCCAGAGCTGCTATTGTTGCAAACGGGGCACGGTGCCCCTTCTTAGCATACAGCAAACACACTTGTGAAAACAATAGCTCAACACTGAGCTTTCAGGTCTCGGGGCCCGTGGCGTGTGACTTTTCTCCTTCAGAGCCAGATATTCTGGACAGAGGGGGTCTTCTCTTCAGTGGTCTCCCAAGGACGATTGTGAGGCAGATGAGGGAAAATTCTGACAGACTCTCACAACACCACAGAGCAGGGAAGTCACCCTCATTGCATCTGTAACATCACTTAGAGATAGTGTTTTGTTTGTGTGTGGGTTTTGTGTATTGGTTTAAGGTACTGAATTCAATACTTAATGTGGCATAAAAGCCACACCTTTTCTAACCAACATTCCCATAGCTATTGCTTTCCTTGTAATATCTTGAGCCTTATTTCTCCTCAGGCTTCCTGTCTTTGTCCACAGGAGGAATGACTCCATTCACTGCTGGCATCTTCTCCCTGTATGAGAACCTTTTAGGCCATGGCCAAGTTGTTGATTTTTATTTTCTCATGGATGAACTGAATAGTCAGGGGTCAGCTGAGGTCTTTGCCCTCTAGGTTTTTCTGTCATGTGCTCTTCAGAGCAGAAAACGTGACAGTTTTTTAGGCCTAAGCAGCCAAAGGGCACTGAAGCCACCAGGAGTGAGGAGTGGGACAGTGGTGCACAGACATGGGCAGCTTTCTCCACCATGTACCTACCAGGCAGGGCTTTTGTTCTCTCCTGTCTCTCAGGACTGGGCATCACTTTCAGTGGACAAGGATTCCTGCTGTCAGAAAAGTATCTGCAGCAGTGACCTTCCCAGTATTTCATTAGCTGATGAGTCAGACAAATGGATTCTGGCAATGAACTTTAATTCCATTAAGCAGTGGATTTTTAATAACAGAATTAGAAGACTAGCAACAATGCTTAAGGATTCGCTGGGTACATACAGGCTTTTGCTATGTCATATGTAAAGCTCCTTGCTAATACATGGTTTTCCACTTCCACAATTAATGTTTCACTGCTGCTTTGCTGCTCCTGTCTCACCTGTAAAGAAATGAGCCCAGACAATACATTTTCATTGCAGGTTTCCAAGAAGTACAGCGAGATCGAGGAGCTCTACCAGAGACTGACAGCACGGTATCCACAGGTGTCTCTGCCACTCCTGCCTAGAAAAGTTCTCTTTGTGGGGGAATCTGACATCTCTGAGCGAAGAGCTATGTTCAATGACATCATGAAATTCATCGCCAAAGATGAGGATCTAGCAACGAGTCCCGAGTTACTGGAATTTTTAGGTAACTAAAAGATGTGAGTGTCCCCTCTCCCAGAAATGTCCTTTATGGAAGTATTAAGTTCTTGACTTGGGCAGCCAAAACCTAGAGAGTGCCAAAATAAAGGCTGTCCCTGAAAATGTCCTCATGTGCATTTACAGAGCTGCACAGTTGTGTTTGCTGGTGTTTCTCCCTCCTCTCAGTGGACACCTGCCTCATTTAGAGATGTTGATAGGTACCTTCAAAGCAAGCATTGTGCTAGCCTGTCCCTGGTTTCCTGCTGTACTTCAGAACATGTAAGCTTAGAAGGCTCAATAGTCATATGTTGTCAGTGGGGAGATGGACCCTAAAGGGACAGTGCAGGGTCTTCCTTAGTGAGCAACTCTTCCATGTTTTGTCTGATTTTCCTGCAAATTATTTACTCTGAGAAAGATTTAAATGGAAGACAGATTCTTTGTTAGTTAAACACATTCTATGGCTAGCTTTTTTTTCCTTTTTAGTTTAATTTTTTTTCTTAGTTTTCCTTAGCTTTATGTCCAGCTCTTGTTGTCTTGTCTAGTGATTCTTACAGTTCTTTTCTGCTGTCTCTTGGGCAAAACAGGGTTACTGAATGAGTGGAACAAATGAGTTCCCTGCTTTTAATTCAGCTGAGGGCTGCTGGGCAGGGAGTACTCCAGCCTGGTGCTGTGCAGGATTCTTAGTGGAGGGTTACTTTTAAGTGAAGTTGCAAGAAGCTAACAAGTGTAGACAGCCCATTTTGCAGAAGTGTCAGGTGTGTGCCAGATAAATTCTGTGAAATTGGGAGCTTCCTAAAGTCAAAGGGGGCAAAGCTGCTTAAATGCATGGCAAAATTCAGGTAGTTAGGCTTTTGTTTAGGCTTTTTTTCCCTGGGCAGTATTCTCTTGCAAGCAGATCCCTTGCACAGAAAATTCAGAATTCATGTTGATTGATCTTTGCATGCTGGTTAACCTAACCATGGTGCACATCTGTAGCTAAACTAGGCTGGACTCCATTCTGTGGGCAGTTTGGGTGCAAGTAATGTGAAATCAGAATTTGCATTAGAATAGTGTCAGTCTTACCCTTATTTGGCAGATGCAGGCATGAAAAGCTAGGTGAGATGAGTCTCCCATGCCATGTTATTCAATAGTCAAAATGGTGTAGCCATGAATTTTATTCATCACAGCTTTCAGCAGCCTTTTTTTTAGCTGATCTCATTATTTTAAATTGCTTTCCTGGACATTCAGAAACTCGCCAACAAGGAACCATTTTCTCCTCATTCTGCTGCCCTTTGCATGAACAAGTGTGGTGAGAAGACTTAGTTTTATTTTTCAGTTGGCTGAATTTGCTGAGCTGATGCATCTTGCATACTGAAGGGTGTTAGAACTTCAGGCTTCATTTTTCAGTGTAAACTGAAGAGCTGCTGTAGAAACATGCTGTCCAATGCTCTAATTTTAACCCAAGTTAATTAAACTGTATCAAAAAGAGGATTTTATCTCTACTAGCTATGTGAAAGTTAGCTACCTACATCTGTGCAGAGTATTTACAGTGTCTTTGTAGCCAGCAGAAGAGAAATAGGCACTTCAAAGAGAAACTCACATGACTTTATTTGGATGGGATGAATCACCACGTGGAAATTCCATTGTTTCTGTTGACTGTAGAAGGAACATAAATAAGCAGATTTGACATGTGTTGCTGTGTCTCACTTAAAGTTCATTTCCTTTATCTTTCTCTACTTAACTACTTTGAATCAGTAAACAGATCAGACTCATCATGACACATAGTGAATAAAGGGAACAGTGGGAGTATTTTGAAAGAGTTTCACAAAAGCTGATCATGTCCTTCGTTCCTCAAACAAAACTCTAAGCAACAAGTGCAAGATATAAAAAACCTGTAGTATTTATCTCATATACCCAGTTTTGCCTCCATTACTATGTTTTGCAGGAACAAAATCTTCTAGTGCTGTTGACTTCAAGGGCAAAAACTTACCTGATGACAGGGAGAAAGAAGATGAAGAAAATGAGGCATTGGATTTTTTCAAAGAGGAGAAGACACCTGACTTAATCTCACAGCTTTTATCAGTGGAAGATTCCAAAAAAGGGGAGAAAAAAGAAGGGGGAGATGAAGAAGAAGAAGAGGAAGAAATTTTAGACCCTCTTGGTATAATCAGGTATGGCTAAAATCCTGTAAATTAGGTGTTTAGACTTCAGCCTTCCTGAATAAGGCTGTTGTATGTCACTGTCCCCACATTGCTAAATTTCACAGAGAAGGAGGGGCCTTTGCAGTTCATGAGTGAGGTGCTTTGATAGAGGGAAGAGACTTGGTGGTGCCTTTTCAGTGCATTCCTCAGGACACTGAAGTGACAGGGACGTGATGAGTGCCTTGGTACCAGTCCCAGCTACAGAAGGTATTTGCTGGGCACTGCAGGGTTCCACCACAGAGCATCAGCCCTCCAGCATCCAGTGGATGTGCCTTCTGGAGTACACGGGACACTCTGATTGCAGTGTCTGGAACTGCTTTTGAGCTCACTTGTGCCTTTTCTTTCCTTGTTCCTTTGTCTGAAGGTGTCAGATGCTAAATGCCACTAAGACATATGCAGGAACAGCTTGAGAAACAGTAATTGGGTCAAAGCTTCCTGATACTGGTATCTGTGTGTCCAGTAATTTTCAGCCAGTTACTTTCTTCCCTTCAAGGTGGAATTTCACACTGAATTTCAAACTGATTTCTACTAAACTCTGGAAGCAAATTAAGCTTTTCTGTGCTGGGATCATGAGTATCAACTACTTTTTAGGGTGTCTCAGGCTTTAGATGTACAAATGAAGACGGTGTAGCTGTTCTTGATCTTCAGTAAGCACTGACTGACCCAGCTGGATGGTTCCAGCCACCCAGAGTCCCAGCCACTACTGAGTGTTGTCTTGGATCTAGACTCTGCTTTCAAAATGCTTCTGCATAGCAATAGGCAGTAACTGAGAGTAACAAGCCAGACCCCTCTCTTGGTGTTTCCCATTAAATCATTTCTGGGGGATCATTCACTCTAGATCTAAGCTGGAGTCTCCTACACTAAGTTTGGTCAAATAAGATGAATAATACTGGAAGCACTATTTGGACTTTCCTCCTGCTGTTATAATCATGTAATTGTGGATGCCCAGATATTTTCCTTTTTACTTGAAGTATTTAATCCTTCAAATCAGAAAAACATTAACTATTACTCTTTTGATAAAATGTGCTGAATTACTCAGCATCAAAATTATTCTTTTGTTTAAGGAGAGTTTAAAAATTTAAATAACTATTTACAACAAGAAGTTAGATAAAGCAATACTTCCCACAAAATGGTTCTTAGTTTGTATTTTTACAAAAGCAGCTGTCCTTTTTTGGATAGGAAAATGATCTATTGGGTTAGCAAATGCAATGTTATATTTTCCAACTTATAACAAACAGAAGCTGTAAAAAGCTTGCTATGCCAAAACAAACAAGAAGTTTGCTTTTCTCCTCTGCACAGCTTGACACAGCATTTGAAAATCTTGATTATTTTGGTCTTCCAATGCACTGAAGGATGACAAGACCTGGTATTTAATCCTCATTTAGTTTATTGCTTCCATTCCTTCCAAGTACAGAATTCTTACTGAATCAAAATAACTTCATTTATATAAGAAGTATGGTCTTCACTGGGACAGAGCTGCAGCTCTGCAGCAGCAGTTATGCAGTCAGATGTTTTTCACTCTAAAGCAGTGGCTGGCTATCTATAAAAGACATCTCCATATCTGTTTATTGCTGTTTCTATGATTCTCACATGTGCAGTGCTGGGGCAGAAACATGAAAGTGGAAACAAGAATTCTGAGGTGGATTTTTCATTGTCTCTGTTCTCGTGCAACTCATCCTGCTTCCATGGAAGTTGTTTTCAGCTCACATCAATGGAGATGAGATTGTACATCAGCACTGTATCCCAGCTCTGTGCCTTCTAGTAAGAGGTGTCTAGGAGAGAGGCCAAAGGCAGGAGCTTAGTGGTCAGTGGATAGGCAGTTCTCAGGGGACATTTTAGGGTGTCTTCTATGCCTGTTAAAATGTTTGGTGCTTGCATGCTCTGAAGAGGGAGCTGAAGCCCCACAGCTTTAGTGCTTCACGTGTGCTTGAAGTTACTTTGGCATGGGAATGAATAAACAGGAGGTGAAGCAGATAGATAAATGTGTTTAGTAGTAAATTGTCCCCTAGTGCCTAGTAAATTTAGGTTTAAAAGGAAAAAAAATAATCCATGCTCCTTTCCTCTCTGAAAAACCTTTGGAAAGCAGTAGAATCAGCACTGAAACAAGCCAGTCCATTTTGTGAAGTAGTGGTGTCCAGAGTGCTTTGAGCAGCAGAGCTCCAACCTAAATTGAATCATGTGTTTGGCATAATCTTACAGGTTTTTTGCTTTCTGGATGAGGATGAAACTGCTCCAGTAGCACAGGCCTCCATATGCTGTCAGCATGCTTCATTTGGTAACAACTTCTCCTGGGCCAGAAGGCTGTGAATTGGATTTGGCCCAGCACTGCTGCTGTGCTGCTGAACCACCCAGTATCCAGTTAAATATCAGGCCTTAGGGGTAAAATGCTAAGCTAGAGCCTTTTTTTTCCCTGTTTTTGTATTGCTGGTGTTCACCCAGGTGGAAGCTCATTGTGGGCTGGTTCCTTTTGCCTGAAGAGACATCCCAGTGGTGCTGATTGTCTGCCTCGCTTTCAGGGCTGTGTCTGAGCTGCTCTTTGATGTCAGGTGGGCACACTCGCTTGCCAGTTCAGCTCCTCATCTTTTGTGGGTATTAATGATGGTCTACAAACATTATGTTTCTTGTTGTATGGCTCTTATGCCTCAAAGCTTTCTCTCTGTGTTAGCAGGGTGATTCTAGGATTCTTGCTCTTAACAGGATTCTTACTCTTAACAGGATTTTGCTCCTCTTAACAAAGAGGAGGACTTGGGGTTTTGCTCTTTTTCCAAACCAGGAACATGTCAAAAACAATAGATATTTCTGATTAAGTTTTCATCTTTTAACATGCCTCCTCCTTTATATTTTTTTTACCCCAGAAGCCAGGTTCTTCCTAGAATAAAAGGTGTTCAATATTAACTCATATTTGTGGGATGCAGTGGTATTGAAATTCATTGAAATATGCTTTCTTCTCTTCACCCTCTGCCTTTCTTGATAGTTTGGAGTATTGGTATTCCAGTGTATTGTCACCAATTACTCTGCAAGTTTTCCTGGACATTTGTAGAAATCTTTTCAGCTTTGGACAGAATATACAGGTCCTGTAGGAAAAATCACTCCTAATACAGAGTAAGGCTATCCTTTGATATCAGCTGTGCATAAGGGAATGAATTATAGTATACTCACTTCTGTAGCAGTGGCACACTTACAGCTCTATTTCACTCTTCTTAGCACTTCAAGTATACAGTGACTTGTAAGTCATTGTAAAGCTCTCATAGCATTTTTTAAAGGTGCATCTCTTGGGTTTGGTTTTTTTTAATTCATTTTTTGTCTTAAGCCAAAAACATCATAATATATTTTTGTTAAAATGTTTTATTTCCTTGATAAGTAGGAAATCAGATACATAATTAACTCCCCATTGTAGGGACAGTATTAGGTATATTGACTTAGCTTTGTCACCACTCTTTGTCACTCTTCTTTAAATCCATAGAGCTCACTATTTGCAGATACATATTTTTAAATCCTTGGTAGGCTACCGTGGTACTTTGGTATTGGAGTTTTTAAAGGTGCAGTATTTTTAAAAAATGTTTTAAAGGATTTTCCTCATAAATTGCAAAATAATATCATGTGGCTAGTGTCAGTTGCAGGGAGTTCTCCAACTGGCATGCCTTCAGGAATGAAAGAAACAAGAGCAATAAATCTGAAAGAGGCTAATACCTCTGAAGGACAAGGCCTGGAAGAGAAGCACAAGTTGAATGAACTATTCACCTGAACTTGATGGTACTGTTGAAAATTCTGCAATGGAAAAGGGTATGATTTGCCAGTGGTTTGAGGGCAGGTTGGCAGGGAGTGAGGGGAGCTGTGTGCAGCAGGATCCAGAGCAGCAGCAGTGCTCAGCCAGGGCTGACTGGGCAGTGTCTGGCTGTGGCTGTACCATGACATTCTCTGTCCTCTCTGTGAGGTTGGCTGGGTCCAGAATGCAAGTGCCTGCTGGCCTGGGCTGCCTCCTGGGCTGTGATTGGGATGCTTTGGGAGAAGGCAGGTTGTCCCAAGCCAGGGTGTACCAGGGGCTGTTCTGTGCTTGAATTGTTGAACCGAGCTCCTGTGCTCAGGCCCAGGCTGTGAAGGAATTACTCAAAAAACCAGTATAGTCCCTGTTTTTCTACCCACAGAGCTTTCTGCCTGCTGCCGTCTTCGCTCCACTCTGCCCTCAAGCTACCCTAGGGTTTGGCTTTCTGTAGACAGGTCAGGCATCCAGTTAGGATGCTTAATCCAGGCAAGATCAAGTTCACATTTCCAGGTATTCTTCTTAAAGCTAGTTAAAAACACATCAGAGTAACTGAATTGGGTTTTGTCTTCTTCCTCTGTGGGTGAAATACAGAGTTCCACTGTTTATATTTTGAAGCCAAGAGCTTTAGCATCCCTCTCCTCCCACTTTGTAGTCACAACAACTGAATTTAGTACTTGTGTTCAGTTCATTCCAAAAAACCTCAGAAGCAGCTGATTAAAATGACTGTGAACCAGCTCCTCTGAACAAAGCAGCAGCAATTCTGCAAAAGGAGTGTGGCTGCCTTGTGGGTTAAAACATGCAGCAGCCCTTTCAGTGCATGCATTTCTTCAGCTGCAGTTACCTCCTGAGGTAATATTTGTTCACCACTTTGGGAGAACCCACCTTTTCCTGAGCTTTTTTTTCCTGTCTTCATCAGCTCTCTGCAGCCTTTGCAGGAGCCTCTCCTCACACAGGGTTCCTCCCTTCCGTCCTTTTTCCTGTGCCTCCCTAAATCTTTCAGTGACAGCATGCATTTCCCCAGGCATAGGTTTTTCCTGGCAAACTGCACAGAGGTGAGTATTCCCTAGGCAAGAGTTCTTCTGTCTCATCATGGCTCCTGGAGAGTTTCTGTCTTGACTCTGTGCCTTTACTATTGTTTCAGAGGATTTCCTTGTGGCTTCTCCTCATCCAAATTTGTGCCTCTCCTGAGGAATACAGATATGTGGGT